CAAGACAGGCAAGCAGTCTTTACTGCTGAGCAATCTCCCCCATGGCAAGTATTTTAAATTCTGCATCAGTGCTAGTTGCTATTATTCAGTCCAGCCTTGCCAAAACAATCAAAAGCCCAAACTAGCCTGAGTATGGTTAATGGCATGGATGAAACACATCCCCTGCACTGTTGAGAGGCACTCCTCTGTTGTTAAGTGGTTAGAGGTGAGCAAATTGATTATATCCTTTTTCTTTGCATAGCTCTTTGTTACTTATTGCTGCAGCCATACTTACAAGCCCAGCAGGGGGTGAGCACAGCACAGTTTCTCCAGCTCTGCTGCTAGAAAAGCAATTTGCTTTGATTTACCTAAGAACAGGTGTATGATTATGAAAAAAAATATTTCCACAAACATCAGCAGTTGTGATTGAGAGATCGAATCTCCCAAATGGAATCCATTGCCTCTTGAAGACAATGTTAACTTAAGCAGCTAAACTTTCAGTACTTGTTCAAATGCCCCCAAATAGGGAAAATTCAGGTAGCAGACCACATCTCATCTTTTTAAATATGTAGTTCATAACAAGTGGGCTGTGTTAACACTGGTGTTTTTCTCTAAAATGGAAGATGCTCTCTTTGTATTTGAGAGAACATTGCATGTCTTAGAAGTTAAAGTTACAGCTGTCTGACTGTACTTTATAAAGGGAATACAGAAGTCATGGCCCAGTTTATATTTTATTATATTTGCCTTTCAGAGTATGGTCCTGGGTCATTGGTTATTTCCTTTTACAAATATTCTCTCTTTCATCATTTCCCAGGCAAAACTATAAGGCTTGCAGAAGTTTCTGACACTTCTGAGTTCACCATCCTCCCTCCCAGGTCCCCATCCCCAGATTCATGCCGGTGTTCTAGAAACACAAACGTGCTTATCCTCTAGTCTCTACTGAAATGAATTGGATGGATTTTGGTTTGGGTTTTAGTTTTTTGAACTGAGGTCTTGCCATGCAGCTCAGGCTAGCCTAAAACTCATGGTCTTTCAGCCTCAGCCTTCATGCTACTTACAGCCTCCAAGTTACTGGGATTATAAGTACATTCTACTACACCCAGCTGCGCCTTCCTGAACTGTTGCTATTTAAAAAGAGAAATAATTATTAATGTATGGTGATGATAACTTATTTTGTTATCTAAATAACTATTAATTGTGGATGATAAGTATAAATGATGATAAATTACTTTGTGACTATAAACTACATGCCCCCTCCCCACCTTTCCCCCTCCCTTTTGTTTTCTTTCCTCCTCCCTTGGAATTTCCTTTTTTCCCTCTTGCTCCTCTTAACTCCCATCCCTCATCCTAAGCACTGAGACCCTGAACTGTTCATTGAAAGCAAAAGAAGTGAATTCAGCAATGGAACTTGAGAATGTGTGACCCTAAAGCCATTGCTATTTCCAACTATAGATAAAGACAATCTTGTTCAAAGTCCTGCAGGGAAATCCCAAGACTCATGATCAGTTATTGCAATAGATTATAAATCAGTAGAATACAATTAAATTCCAAATATTTACTAACAGATTCTAATACTACAGATATATTGTATTTGTTGCGATGAATAGTTGTCTTTAACCTCTTAGACTATGTAAGCACCTGAGCTTTAACCTTGTTATTGTTTTAAGTGTTGTGTTTGTGCCATCCTGGATGTTTTCACAGACAATACATTTGTTGTTGCTGCTGCTGTTGTTTGTTTTATAGCCCAGGATGACCTCAGACTCACAGTTCTCTTCCCCAAGTGCTCAGTAGCTTGTTCTTGATAATGCTTATATTTGCTAATGGTTTAAAAGCATGCTAGAAAATGAAAGTCCTCTGCGGTTCCACTGTACTTATTGCTCATCCCAGCGAACAGTTTGCTGTATACTTTTTCCATATCCCCACAATTACCGTCTTCCCTTCTTGTACACGGCAACATTGCTTTTGTGTGATGCCAGGGACAGAGCCCAGGGCCTAGTATATCCCGGGTAATTGCTCGATCAACAAGCTGTATCCCCAGCCCTGTGTGCATCTTTTAAAGCTTCACTTTTCCATGTCTTTGGACTGCTGTGGCAGTCTCATTTCCTCACCATGGAAGAGCATATTCTTGTTTATTGGCAAAACCATTATCATTTAACAGGTATCAGACCCTGACTGGCAGCATTCTCATTAAGAAGCTAGGGTGCCAGGGTCTTGGACATACTTTTCTAGACAGTTATTGAAATGTTTCTAAAAATTTTTAAATAATCATCTGTAGATTTCTAAAATCCATCTCTTTCCAAATGGTTAGCCCATGTGGATTAGTATATGAGCTTATCTTGAGATTTTACGTGTTTTTAAGACAAAGCAACCCAAGATTTATATATTATTCAATTTTCCTAAATGTCAATTTTATTTTCTTAATAATCTGGAGTCTCTTAGTGTGTTTGTCATTGCTTTAACCATTTGTCACATATTGTATTTTCTTGGCATGTCTTTTAACCACATCCTCACTAAAGTATCTTGATTAGCATATTTTAAAGTAGAATCATAACACACTATGACAGTTGGGGACTTGGAGCTCCTATTGGCATCATGAGATGGCTGTCTGTGAAGACTTTCCAAACAATAGTCAACAAGGGTGTCCAGAAAGTCACACCATCTTACTAAGTTTACTTATTCTGAGATATTTGTGGCTCTTATGAATAATGAAATAATGAGGAGAAATAATAATGCACATTGAATTCCAGAATTATTACAAAAGTATATTTACTTATGCCTAATATTTTGGGACACTCTGGACAGCTCTAGTTTTAAAGATGAATGGTTACATTACAATAGAAATGGAGATGCTGAAGTTTACAGGGTTCCCTCCTTCATTCTTACCTTCTTTTGAATTGAATGAATTATTCACATTTTCTGTAGTCCAGGGAAAAATATTTATTTTTAATTTTTTCCTTAAAAATATAATACATAAATTTCACTTAGTTATATCTAAATTTAGCAAATAGCTTTGTTCTCTTCCTAAACAGTGCAGACTTACTGCTTTCATTCTGATATTCCCCTCCCAACTTCCTTCCTTACTACTGTTATTGAGGAGCTTAACTCTATTTGCTGTTTTTATGCCCAAGAAACCATCATCATCTTGCTGTTCACAGTTTCCTTTTTGTTTTGAAAGATACACTTATTATTCATTATTATTATGCTAATTATATAAGTATGGATACATGAGTATAGGCACCTGCCGAAGCTCTGACTTAGAGCTAGAGTTACAGACATCTAACACAGTTGCTGGGAATTGAACTCTGTTCCTCTGGAGGAGCAGTGCCTGATCTTAACTGCTGAGCCTCTCTTCAGTTCACATTTTCTTATAGTTACATTCTCTTTGTACATCTTCCTTTCCTTGCATTCAGAGCCTCTGCTACCAAACCCAGTTTGGAACTAGCTGTCAGTCTCCAGAATCTATAGGTAGACAGTTAAGTGTTTTCAGGAGAAAATGGGAAGAGTAGGGTCCTAGGAGATATGCCTTGCTGTCAATATCAACCCATCCTGCACTGTTGCCCCTCAGGACTGAGAACTGTGGGACATCCTACACAAGTATTATCCCTGGAGACTGCGGCTGTCTCTGAGTTATTTGCCTTCAGCTCTCTAGTGTGGGTGTTTTATGGGAGTAAAGAAGAACAATGAACTCTTGTAAAATATCACGTTAAATATACCCAGGTTGTGTCCCCCTGCAAGGTACCTCTCTCTCTCTCTCTCTCCCTCTCTCTGTCTCTGTCTCTCCCCCCCCTCTCTCTCTCTGTGTGTGTGTGTGTGTGTGTGTTTATGTGTGTAAAATTAGCCTTACTTTAGGAAATAATGGTGATGATAGTTGAAGATCTTTTGATTTGGTTTTGAATTCACTGATTATATTTTAACAATTTCTCACATGGAACACACCAAGTTACAAATTGACAGATGGCACTGTTTGAAATTTTGCTGTCTTTGAAATCCAAAATCACTATTATAGACAACTAACTGCTAGTTTGGGTGTGGACATTGGGCCTTATGAAAATCATGTATTCTTAGTTATATCAAGAGCTTTATCGTTTACTCATATGTGTATAAGTCCTGTGATGTCAACAGTATTTTGCACTGGCAATACATGGCAGAGGTACTGGATTAGCAAGTATACTCTGCACTCTTCCAGTGGTTTACAATGACCAGTTTCCACGAGGTCAAGATGAACAGGGTTCTTCAGGGTGTTTAAAGAACCTAACTTTCAAAGCCACATAACCCAATATTCTTCCAATAACTTAGGACATAATTTCTCTACTGAAACAGAAACGGATTGGACTAAGTGACATCAGTTTTTTCTTTGGTCATTATAGGTTCTGGCTGTAGTTACATGTTCTTTCAAAAAATGTTTTAAAGGCATATATTTAACCTATATTTCTATTAAATCTGTGATGGTGGTACAAGCATATAACCCCAGAACTTCTGCAGGAAGATCAGGAGTTCAAGGCCAGCCTTTTCTATATAGCAAGTTCCAAGTCAGCCTGGGCCACAAGGAAACCCTGACTCAATTAGTTAAAAAATAAATCTGTGGTCCCTTTCACTATGAGAAAGATTTAGAGATTGTGACATAGCTAATATTGAGGACACTGCTGCATCTGCAATTTCGGTGCCATCATTTTGGAGGATGTTATTCATTTCCTTCTACACAGTCAGTGTGACTTGTGACATCAAGTGTGATGACTTGAGTCTTACATTTCTTCCCCAAAGAATGGTTACATTGAAATACAGTCATGGTGTCATCATATGCCTGACACTGGCATTTTTAGAGGAGCTTTCAGTAATTATTGTGATATAGACAAATAACCCTATGAAGATTCACCAGCTACACCTTTTGGATACATCTGAATTATGATAAGATTGTTAGCTGGCAGATTTGTTATTTTCTATAGCCATCAGGAAAAGAAGTCATAAAATAATGCATATCCATTTGAGAAGAAAATTAACTTTTCCTAAAATTCCTTTTCCAGTGAAGGAACCCCATCCCCCAGAGTGGAGCTGCTGCATAACATTGATCAGGACTTTTTTGACAGTTCGCCATGTGAGTACCCAGCCATTGCTGTTATGTTAAATGTTTTGTTGTGTTTTAGTAGATCCTAGCACTTTAGCCTATTGCTCTCTGCTTACCAGAGTTGCTGTTAGTGTAAATGTTCTTTCCTGACACTTATTCTGGTAATCTCATGGTGGCTTCAGTATTTTGTGAAGTTAGTAAATTCTGGCTCTGCCATTTGCTGACTGTATGTAGCAGGAGCCCACAGGAACCCTGAGGCCCCTTTCTACTGCCGATATCATGCCTGTGGAAGTCAGGACAAGGGACTCTACCGCTTAGTTGCAAGGATGTTTCCGGTGTGTTATTTGGTGGCTGTGCTAAGTTTCATCATTGTGGTCATTAATTCAGAAACACTTTTTGGCCTCTGCTGTCCTTTGTGTCTCCTATAAAGAAACTCACTTTATATTGGCCTTCCTTACCAACTTGGTTCACACAAGTGAGGTGTTCTCTGTTGTCTGTGCCTGCAGAGAGCATAGTGCCTGACTCCTCACACAGAGCAACCTGCAGGCCTTTCCTGCTGTGTCTGAGTCACTTCAATCTGCTGTGAGGCAAAATCAGAGAAAAGAAAAAGAAAAAAGCTGTCTTTGAGGTCTATTGCCTTTTACCATGAAGGCATGAATCTGCTTTCTTTTCTATGCAGTTATTTGCATGGAAAAAAAATAAACCCACTTATAAGAAAATACTAACTTAGAGTACAACAGCATCTGGACAGTCTAGGAAGGTGTTCTAGAAATCAGGAAGCAGCCAATCTAGTGTATTAAGTAAGGGCTGATATTTGAGCTGGTGTTACCCCAGAGTCACAGTTGGCTCCCAACTCTAGTGCCCCCCTCCCTCAGACTGATTATCAGAGGAAAGTTAAGGAGCACACTGTGAGGGCACACCTGTTAATAAGCAGTAATGTTGCCACAGGCATGGTCACAAATTAATGAATAGAAATAAAACCTTAGAAGCATTATAAGCAACAGACTAATTTGATTTGATACACAGTCCTGTTATTGCTACACCCAGTTCACCTCTCTGAGCCCTGTCCTCCTTCCTTTACCAATGTCTCCTCACCTCACAAACTGTGTGAACAGGCACTAGATGTTTCCCTGGGGAGCCCTGCCTTCTACAGACCCTCATGCTCCCTCAGAAGCCGGCTCTTGGGGTTAGCAGTTACTCCTTCCTACCCCCTCTTAAGAGTAGTGGGAACATCCAGGGAAACCAGGGTTCCCTCCTTAGGCTCATTGTCTCATTAATAAAAGATTTTAAAAACAGACTCAGAAGGAAGCTCAGGGACCACTTCATTAGATTTTGAGAGAAAAACAACAGGGTGTTCCTGCTGTAAAGTTTGGCAGCTGCTGAATGGGGTAGATGGAGAGAAATGAAGAGGGAAAGTATGTCCTCCGAGTTAGGGTCCATGAGAGCTGGCAAGTTCCTAGGTGGATGTTGGCAAATAGGTGTGTGGCAGAAGAGTGAGTGAGAAAGCAGGTTGCCAGGGAAGGCATGCTTAGATCAGGAAAATATGTCTGGGCTTTCAAAAAAAGGCACAGAAACAGAAGGAAAAACTATACTTCTTGAGTTTAGAACTCAAAAAGCAGGCAAGCTTAGCAGTGAAGATATGTAAGCAACTGCGTCAGGGGAGGGGATTTGTAGAAGAAGCACAAGTAAGTACATTATCTCATTAAGGGTATAATTATTCCTCCCATCTCCTTAGTGTGTTATTAGGTGAATCAGTTTTCCTGGGGAGTAAACTCTGGTCATCTCATTGACAGGTTCAGCTCAAGGGAAGAAACAACACAGTATATAATGTTCTAGTCTTTGGAGGAGATCAGAATGTTATGTCTCCATTCAGGGCCAGAGGTGTTCCATTCTTTTGACTAGAAGGCCTAAGGAGGAGAGGCAGTTGTAATGTTTTCCTTTCTAGTGTTAGCAGTAAAAAAGATGTGCTCCAAAGCCAACCACAAGGAAGGGGTCTATCCCCAGTGGCCTCTGAAGTTACTAATCTCTGCCTGCTAAACATTCATACCCATTCATTATTTTGGAGGTGAGCTGAAGTTGGGAAATAGATATAACCATATTTCCACCATGAGTACCTAGAGGTGGGATTCCAAAGTCGTCCACCAGAAGGGATTAATGTCTAGCTGGAACTTCAGCCACTATCACATATGGCTTCCATAAGGGAGAACTCCTTCTGCTTTCCCGGCCTCCACTCAGGACAGGACCAAGGACATTGCCCGTGGAGGGCAGACCACATGCAGATCCTAACACCTCATACCTCCATGCCTTTCTTTCTAGTAGAGTGACCTAGACTCAGTGTCTTTCCCTGGGAGTGGGCAGTAAAAGTAAGCAGTATGGACTTGGGGAAGGGGATGGCGCTGTTCACAATGAGTTAGGGAAATCCCGGAGGTGCCTGAAACGTTGGGGAAGCAGCTGTGATGCTGGGTCTGAATTTAGCTTGCATAGAGCCGAGGGCTCTCTAGTGCCGGACTCTGTGTTTCTCAACACCGTTTAGATCATGGAAGAACCGCTACAGAGACCTCAGTTTGCAGTTGCCTGATTGGTCCTGGCTGTTCTGGGGTGATGGTCCTCTCAAGCTGAGACCATAGCTCACCTCAGATGTCAGATGTGATCATCAGAACTCCAGAATAATCCAGTTGTGTGATATATGTATATGTAATCAAAACACACACACACACACACACACACACACACACACACACACACACACACACACACACCAGTTATGCAAGCAGGAGCCCAACTACTGGTGAAGGGCACTAACAAAAGTTAGTACAATCCCTACCACCAAAGGCCCACTCTGTGAAGTGGCTCTGTGCAGTGCTGTTACTAATTCAGGTGGAAGGCCTCTTCTCTTTGGGTGTCACTATGAGATGTTACTTCTGCTAGTGATGATGGTGGAAATGGGGCTTGGCTGCCTTTCCTCCCTGGGAACTTTGAATAGGGATGACCCCCATAGACTCATGTGTTTGAATGCTTGGCCCACAGGGAGTGGTACTATTAGGACAAGTGGCCTTGTTGGAGTAGGTGTGGCCTTATTGGAGAAAGTGTGTCACTGGGGGGGTGGGGCAGGCTTTGAGGTCTAAAAATGCTTGTTATGTCCAAGGTGGTACCTGTCCAGTCTCTCCTGCTGCCTGCAGATCAAGATGTAGAACTCTCAGTTCCTTCTCTGGCACCATGTCTGCCTGCACACCACCACATTCTGCCATGATGATAATGAACTAAACCTGTGAAACTGTAAGCCAGCCCCAATTAAATGTTTTCCTTTATAAGAGTTGCCATGGTCACGGCATCTCTTCATAGCAATAGAAACCCTAAGACACTCTCTCACACAGTTGCCACAACTACTTAAGGTGCAAGACTCATCCAGTTCAAATGTGTCATAATTTGAATATAAAATGACCTGGCTGGCAGAAGTACATTCCCCTGGCGATGCCTTTGGAGGCTATAAACCAACCTGTGCCCCCAGCCTCTCTTTCTCTCAGCTTGCTTTCTGCCGTCATCTAAAGAGCTCTCCTCTCCACCTGCTCCTGAGATCTCGTGGAGGCAAGCAACTGTGGACCAAACCCAGATCTTTAACCTTTGAGCAGAAATAAGCCTTCTCTCAAATTGTTGTCTATCAGCTAGCAAGGCTGCTGTCACTATGACAGCCATTCTCCCAGCCCCACCTCAGTATAGCACAGCCAATGTGCCAGCATTGAGGTGAGATGATTGTAACTACAGTCAACCTGGTTCCCATCAAACCAGTGAAGAACAGGAAATGAGAAAGGTCTGGAATCAGTATGGTTGGAAATGTGTGAGGGGAGGAGCCTGAATTCAAGCTCCCTCAGCTTCCCCATGTGGGTTAGGAAAAGAGGGGTGGCAGGCTGACCACCCTGGTGCCTCCAGAACTTCACTAAAACTTCGCTATTCTATGAGAAGATGTTTACATCTATCAGGTGTTGTCATAGCAACAGCCCAGCTTCACTCTCCGATGCCAGTTTTCTGTATTGGCTATTTCTGTGTCACTGTGTCATCTGACAGAAACAACTCAAGGGAGGAAAGATGTATTTCAGACAGGTGTCCATCAGGGAAGGGACAGGGGGACAGATTGAGGAGCAATCCATGGCTGGAATGTGAATTTAAATAAGAGCCCGTGGAGGACAGTTCAGATTCAAAGTGCTGTGCTGATAGCTCCAAACTCCAGTGCTTTAGTTTCTGCAGCTGTGCTTATGTTCTCTTCAATGCATCCTGTCATGCTCACATGTTTTGCTGACCACGCTCACATCTTTCCTAATCATGCTTAGCTGTTTCCCGTCCGGAGCTAATGCTCCAAGTAGATCAGACATCATCTGTATAGCTTGCTCAGTGCCTTGCATGTATGAAAGAATGCATGCTGATCAGTGAGCCTGTTGCCACCACTCCCCTCTATTAGGACAATCTAGGAAGAGCGGTGATGATCTCACCCATTCTCAGATCAGCTCTGCATCTTTCCGCAGAGCTGAAAGTGTGGCAGTGTGGGAGGCTGCACCAACTCACATGCTGTGCATGATCACATAGAATAGCGACGTTCTGGAAGTGCCAGGGTGGTCAGCCTGCCACCCCTCTTTTCCTAACCCACATGGGGAAACTGAGGTTTTAGGTCCTTCATAACTGTTAAACAACTGAGCTTGAACTCAGGCTCCTCCCCTCACACATTTCCAACCATACTGATTCCAGGCCTCTCTCATTTCCTGTTCTTCACTGGTTTGATGGGAACCAGGTTGACTGTAGTGACAATCATCTCACCTCAATGCTGGCACACCGGGGTGTGCTATGTTGAGGTGAGGCTGGAAGAATGGCTGTCGTAGTGGCAGCAGCCTTGCTAGCTTCACATGTAATCTGACTCTGGGTGGTGATTGCTTCTGACTGTAGAGCTGGCCCTGAACACCCTGCTCATGCCTTGTGCTACACTGGAGATAGAAAAAGAGGATGATTTCAATGGGTGGTATCAGCTCATTTGGGTGTAGAAT